ACTGAAAATTAAGGTCTCTGCAGTCTGAGGCTCTGACAATACAGACCCTGGAAAAGCTAAGACTTCTCTCAGTGCTCCACCAGGAACAGCCAGTGAAGGGCTCAGTTCAGGATCTGAAACATGGATGACACAGGGTGGAGAGAAGGCAGGCACCTGGGGAGGTTAGGGGACAAACCAAAGTAAGAGACAAAAGTGTTCACCTAAACTGAGCTCTCAACTCTGGTGCAGTGAACATGTGCAGTTTCTACTTCAAGTGGTTTGAAGAACTCGTTCTTTCTTTACTCTAGTTAGAAACAAGTTCACCCCAGGCCAGGGGACAGCTCAGTGGCAGAGCCCTGCACAACATACACTAGACCTAGCCCTGATCCCCTCAACTGCAAACCAAATAACAAAACTGAAGATGACTCACAACCCAGTTCCTGGCAGTGGGATCTTGTGTGCTAAGAAGGGGTGAGCTGGTCCTCACTGTGTCTCCTCTGGAAGTCTGTGCCTGTGTGGGAATGAGCACTATTGCTGTCACCACAGTGTTCAGACAGCATCCTCTGGGTCACCTGATGCCCCATTGCCCCTCATCTCTGTCACTGCTGCTCCATCAACCTCAGCCAGGGCGGCATGTGCTCAAGTCTCATCTAAGCGGCCAACTCCTCCAGATCCTCATCTACCTCCATCCACTCAGTCCGTGTAGACAGTCACAAGGACCTGCACTGCTTTGGTTTGGGGTTAAAATGGCTTTAGAAGGTGCTTCACTTAGGAAAGGAGTAAGGCTACATAATGCTGTAACTTATTTGAAGGAGTCTAACTATTATTCCTCTGATGATGTTTTAAAAGTAGAATATTATGATCTAAGGGAAAGCATCCTACCATGTAACTTGATAAATTATAAAAACCAGATTCCCGGGGCTTGGGGTTAAGGCTCAGCAGTTAAGAGCACTAGCTGCTCTTGCAGAGGACCTGGGATTCAGTTCCCAGCACCCAAATGGCCCCTAACAACCCTCTGTAATTCCAAGTTCCAGGGGATCTGATGTCTTCTCCTGGCCTCAATGGACATGCCTATGATGCATAAATATAGATGCAGACAAAACAGATATACATAATAAATAAATAATTTAAAAAGTTAGTCCTTAATTACTAGCATTGCTAACACACACAGACAGACAGACACACACACACACACACACACACACACACACACACACACTTCTTACCTCATGATACTGCCTCACTGTTGAACAATGAGTAGCCCAATTTGATGAATGTAACTCACTTTTTCCAAATCATACTGAATCTTTTTTTCCCAAAAACAATGGACATAAAAATGCCTCTTTTATGACACAAGTGCCCAAGTAAATGACTAAAGCATTTCGAGCAACAGACAGTATAACTCAAATGGTAAGAATATTCACATACATACAGGGAAGGAAGCAACACTGAAATATGAAAAGGCCAGCACACATGTTAGGAAGTAAGTGGTGTTTCATTACAGCCAACAACACAGGAACTTTCAGTGTTCAACAGAAACTAAATCCCTAAGAATAAAGTAACAATATACTAACAGCCGAACTGAGTATAAGGTCTGTTTTACAAGGACAGAGATGTAGGTCCATGGTAGAGTGATTGCCCTCTCATGGCAGAGGCACTAACAGAGCAAAATCATCAACTTCATGATAAATGATAAATCATCATGATAAATAAATCAAATATAAATGAATAAGCGATGGCCCAATGAGCTGGAAGAGCCACATTTCTGTGTGACATTCATATTAAAATAACAGAAATTCCTTTTTTTTTT